AGCACCAGATGCTTCAAAAAAAAAAGTGCAACATTTGAAAAAGTACAAAATTTGAGATAACCTGCTCCTCTGTGTGGATCTCTTCAGAGTCTGTGGACTTAGACACTCTCTTCAGTCCTGAAGCTTGAGGTTTCTCCCTCTTTCTAAAACATGTAAGCATTAATGGGCATGTCTACACAAGATGTTTACCTTGGAGCAAACTAATTAACTCCACAGTAAAAAGTCACCATCCTCATGTGCGACCTAGTAGGCTTGAGTAAACTAATTTACTCCACCTCAGGATAGTACTTTTATGTTGTGGCCAGCTTACAACTGCCACATTGCCAATGGCATGCCTTGCCTGTTTTAATTGGCTGCACTGGAGTCTCCTTTCCTGCCATGACTTGTTGTTGCATGAGATTTTACCTGCAGGTTTTGTAGTCTCCCTCAGACCCTGGGTGACTCTGCTGGTGCTTCTTCTGTGGGGTTCCTCCTCCCCTACACCTTATCCCTTTCCACTCGAGTGGTAAGGATCAGCCTTGGTGGTGTCTTGGTATGATGAGGGTGCTTTTTGCTCCCGTGGTGATGCCTAGTCTTGAGGCTACCTGCAGGAGGATGGCTGTGTTTTTGCTAATTAACAAAATAGTAAATGAACAATACTTCAAAAAAAATCGTTCAAATACTATACCCAGGGCTTCGGGAGTCAGGGCTTGCCCAGTTCCCATGTGGTCCCATGTTACAGATGCCCTCAGGCTGAGCCTGTGCCTTGGGCCAGCTAGTACCTGGCTACATACCATAGTGTTCTTCAGAACATTTCTTCATGGTTATATGACACTCGTGGTTAGGATACCTCCCCGCTAGGAGTCTCTGGGTTTGTGGCTGTCCAGGTTGGGGAAAAGGGATTGCCAGGTGCCTGAGTGGGATCTTCCCCTCTGTAAGTTCTGGCAGTGCCCACCAGGTTGTCCTCTCCCAGTCCCAGCTAACTTGTGTGTCCCTGCAGGTGTCATCGCCAGTTGGTAAGCACAGGGTCAGACCTGGGTTTCTTGACCCGTCAGTTGCCACTCCCCTGGTCATACCTGGGCTATCTTCCCTGGGTAACTTCCCTGGGTACTGGTGAGTTCTGTCCCAGAGAGAGTCTTTGGCTCCCAGGTGATGGGTAGGTGCTTGCTCAGGCTCTAGCTGGGTGCTCCAGCACCAGGATGTGCTGCTGCTGCTCCCCCAAGTGAAACTCTCTGACAGGGACACACCAGCTTCCTGTTGGGAGCAAGGAGAGCATTCCCCTATGGTTCAGCTCCTGGGATCTGTTCACACCCGGAGCCTCCAGAAGCCAGACCAATTAGCAGAGCTCTTTCCAGCCTCTTGTGCTGGCTGCCTCACCCGCAGACCAGCTGCCTGGATGCCAATGCTGAGGTAAGTACAGCTTGAGCTTTCTACATATGTACAAATACTTGTGGTGGAGTAAAGTACTATGCTACAAAGCACATGTAGATACTGACAGGGCTGGTTGGGGCACAAGGGTACTTCAGTGTGGGGGCTGCCTACCTGCTGGCTCCGCACTGGAGTACCTTCATTCCCTAGCCAGCCCCTCTGCTGCACACTGAACCAGTGTGGAACTCCAGGATTGCAGGCTGACCACCCCGCAGGGTACCCTGCCAGCCGGAGCTGCTTTGATGTGACTCAATGTACTGTGGTCCTGGACACGCATGCAGATGTGGCATCTGGGAGCAATAAACTCCAGTGCAAGGTGTGCCAGAATTTATTGTTTCACCTTAATATCATGTGTAGATGCACCCAGTGAATACAACCTAGATACTTGTGTTAGTTCTTAATGCCTTTTTGAAAAGAAAGAGTGAAAGCAAATTTTTTTCTCTCCCCTTCCTTCATTATTTATGGGCTTTTTCTGTTTAAAACATTCTAGTCCTACAAACCCTTAAGCAGATGTGTGATTTAGTCCATGAGTGAGTTCCACTCAGTATGGATGAATATATTCAGGTTTGACATTTATCACATTCATATGGATTTTGTTCTCCTGTTTAGATTAGGGCTTTAGTATGTTAACTGTTTACAGCAAGGTTCATCTATGTCCAGCACCTAAACTTAATTGTGCTTCTAGAAACGACTGTAATAACAAAACAAAAAAATTATTTGGGAGTGTGCCGGAAGAGTGCATGTATGATGAACATGAAAGAATCTGCAAATGGAATAAAATGATCCAGGGTTATTGAATGGGAGCCTTCCAGGAGGTGTAACATTAGTTTCCTTTTGGCTACACTCTAACACATAACCCTTCCAGTCCTCCTAAACCACATCTGGCTTATTGCTTTCATTACTTTCAGTTCAAAAGGAAGTTAGGTAGTGTATCAATAAGACGTTATCCCATATATTTAAATGCTTTGTTTAAAAGGGGAAGTATTGGGTGAGTTTATTAAACAGATTCCAACTCTTTCAGATCTTTGGATATTGGAGTTTTTCATGAGACAATGTTTGGGTTTGATAGCCCCTCCTGAAATTTAGTCGTTGCATATTGATTAGTTTTGAGCACTTAAGCACACAATACTTGAATAACAAGTCTCCCTTCCCTCCAGTCTCCATTTTCAGATTTTTATGTTTGCTTGTTTGTTTTTTCCCCATAAGCATGTATTAGCTGTGGTTGTAAGGCTGCATATACAATCCCAGAAGACAATAGCAAAGCTTCCACTTTAATCATGCAGAGTCTGAGCCAAGGTTGAGCAGGATCCTTGTAAAATTGAAGGTTTTCTCTAGCTGAACTTTATGAAATAATAGCTTGCCTCTTGTTTGAGGGGGAAAGATGATTTAACTTGAAAACCAGCCCTTAAATATTTAACAGAAAACCAGCCCTTGCATCATCTTCCATTTTTTACATTGTTGTTGTTCATGCCAACTGTTGCCCCTGCCCCAGTTAAAGGGGCAACTCTGGCCGTGTGTAGACAAAACGAGGGGCATGTGTGCACAACACTTTCAAGTGAGCTAAATGCTTTTGCACCACTTTAATTGTATCAGTGTTTGCACACCTTGGTGGAGAATGGCGCATTAATTCCAACTGCTGTAGGAAATTTGATGGCGTAATGCTCTTAAATGACTTGGGGCACAGCAAACTACAACTCCTTCCTACAAGTTCCAAACAGATTGTATTAGCAATGTCCAGTTCCTACACTCATGTTCTCTCTGTGTTGGCTCCAAAGAAAAGTAAGTTCCTCTACTTCAGCTTCATACCACAAGATCTACAGATGAAGTTCTATAGGCTCCTAAGGTAGCTTTAGGATTCCTGTGTGTCAATGGCAAAAAGGGGAACCTAGGCCATTACTTACATCACATTTTAGAATTCTGTTGAGTTTAAGACCTCAAGACACTGTTATAGCACCTAGTTTGGCATCTTATATATTATGGTCATTACATGTCATCCAGACGCCTTATATTATGACTAATGACTTTAGTTAGACTAAAGTCCTCATGAAACTAAATTCTCTATCACAGGCAGTGGGTAGAAGAGTCCAAGGTATTGCTAATGCCCACATTTCCTTTATTAACAGTGTTCCCTGCACCTATTTTTGGCTAGGAACTGCTGTAAATATGATTTATGGTCATTGACAAGACTATCAGTGTTCTTTAAGCTACTCCTTTCAAATTCCTTTCATCCCTCTAATTTCCATAACCAAGGATAAGGAGATTCAGTTTTGACTCGCTTATTGAACTTCTGCTGAAAGATTCAGAGTACTCAGTCCACTCACTAGTTTTAACAGGAATTGTGGAGGCATCATTAATAATTTGTAAATTCCACTAAAAAATTAGCAGCTGGAGAAGGGCCGTGAGGCAAGGGAGTTCCTTTCCACCATGCCCCCCACCTCCAGCTCCAGCCAAGCAAACCTGAGCCTTCAGCTGCCTGAGCTGCCTGCTGCTCTCTCCCCCTTCACCTCCCCTCCCTCCCTCACTGACAGCCCTCCAGGTGCTGGAGCATCATCACCAGTGTGAACATCAGCCCAGTCCTGCAAACCACTAAAAAGTAATCCTCAAGGGAACACAAGTTCTCTAAGGCACTTTGTTCTGTAGTGCCTTCAGCTAATAGCTGATTTGATGAGGGTTAATTTTTTGTGCACAATTTTTTGTGTGACTGACCATTTTAAAAGCACTCTGTGGCCATGCACATGTGTTATGTCACAGCTGTAGAGTACTTTCAGGGACCCAATCACAAAAAAAAAAATGTGACTTGTGTAAGGGCCCATAATGTACTATTATTAGTGCATTAAGATTTGTTTTTAGCATGTATATATAGTGATATTATTCCACGGTAGTGCCATAAAGTAGGAAATACACAAAATAGTATACAGTGTCCTTTCTACACAAATACCCCAAATACTACATAAATGCCTTTTTGACTCAGGCAAAGGCAAAGGGTAAAAACAGATGTCAGCTTAATCTGGGGCTCACTGTCTTGAGCTTTGACACATACCAAAACAGATGGAGGACAGTCATTGACACACAGAGCTTAGATGGCAATTAAGCCAAAGTAGCTGCTATTGTCCCAGAGCAGTGTTAATTTGTATACCTCACAGTCACTTAACATGGGACAGTAGAGTTGCCAATTGTAGGATGGCAGGTTAAAATGCTTTGTCCCAGGAGAAATCCAACCTATGTTTTTAGCCTAAGAGATCAGTCAACTATCTTTTGAGATTGGAGGAACTACCTCCTCCACTAAACTGCTCAAAGACTTGAAAGTATTATGTTTCAGAAAAATACAGGGAAAAGAGAAATAACTGAAAATCAGAAGGCATGAGGCCTAGAGAACAGGAACAGAAACACGATAATAAGAAGTTTGACAGAAGATGTATGTTTCCATTACTTTTATTTTATGCTGTATGTCCTTACAGAATCATTACTATTTGCTGTTTAATGTTAAGAAGTGTTTTGTTAATGTTAGCAATGGATACACAGCCAAAACGTTTACAGAATTCATCATGTTTCTCTTTTTGCTAATACCTAATCATTGTGCTATTTCTTAACAGGTGAGATGACTCTTAAAATGCAACACGTTCAGGATTCTAAAATGGGATTTGTAATCAATGCAATATATTCCATGGCCTATGGTCTCCACAACATGCAGACAGCATTATGTCCAGGCTATGTGGGCCTCTGTGATGCTATGAAGCCAATAGATGGTCAAAAACTTCTAGACTTTCTCATGAAGACTAATTTCACCGGAGTTTCTGGGGACATGATCTTGTTTGATGAGAATGGAGACTCACCAGGAAGGTACTGTTAATAACTCCTCATTGTTTACTGAATGGATCCCAGTCTCATTCCCTAAATTTGCTCCAACTTTACCAAGGCAGACACCTCCTTCTAAATGCTCCTATAAAGCATTTCATTACTATTGTGATGAGAGTCCCATAGATAACGGAAGAAAGAGACATTATCTGTCTCCTGCACATAGGTTACAAAACTGGTTTTCTACTGGTGTCAACTCAAAGGAGCTCACTAGTAATTCTGCTTAGTGGAAGCAACACTTCAAAATTTGTTTCGTTCCTGTTCAGAATAGAAATATAACATTTTGAGATTCTCCAGAAAAGGAGGTAAACCCAAGTTCAAAGGCAGTTTGCTTTGAGTCAGGCCCAGGAGTCCTTATAGTCTGCAACATCAAGGCAGTCCCCATGGTCTTCTTCTTAATGCTGGGAGGAAACCAGGTAGTTTTCTGATGAAAACCTACCATATTTTACAGTGTCTAGGTTGGCACATTGTATAAATCGACTCCATGTTCCTGTAGAAAAAAATTAGGATTTTTGTATGTCTGTTGTACATGTCGACCCCACCTTGGGGTGCAAGGCACTGGAAGCCTGGGTGGGCTTGTGGGAGAGGCAACATGCTGGCAGGCTCCCGGGAAGCCGGATTGGGGCCCTGAGAGCTTGGGCAGCACACAGCCCACTGGCAGTCTGCCTGGCTGGCCCTGGGGGGTACTGATACCACAGAGGGAAGGATCAGGACCCCACAGCTCAGGGAACGCCTGGTCCAGCAGAAGCTCACTCCCAGCTGTGGGGCAGGTGGTGAGGCCCCACCAAAAGCAGGATCAAGCCCTTCACCACTTCTGCATTTGGCAGGTGCCTGCAGCCAGCAGGACACCTGGCACCACCCAGGAAGCCTCCCACCTTGCCCCTGCCCAACACCCTGCACTGCCCCTGTGGCAAGCCATCCCCTTTCTGGGCAGCACCAGGTGTCCTGCCAGCTGCAGGCACCTACTAACGGCAGAACCGACAAGGAGCCTGATCCTGCTTTTGACAGAGCCTCCCTGCCTGACCTATGGCTGTGGGGTGAGCTGCTGCTGGGCTGGGCAGCCCCTGAGCTGCAGGGGGGCCCAGTTCTTCCCTCTGCAGTAGCAGCATCCCCTGGGACTGGCCAGGCTGGCTGCCAGTGGCCCATCTGCTGCCCAAGCTCCCAGGTAGGTCCCAGGGGTCCAGGAAGCACCACTCACAGGGGACAGTGTATAAGTCAAGGTTGAACTTTAAGAGGCAAAAATTGGACTTCAGAAATCAACTTGTACACCACGAAGTATGGTACTTGCAGGATTCCCTCAAAGCATCATCAAAATTGATGCATCTTTGTGAAACATTTTAGATTTTGACAAACTAGAAGATTTGGTGAAAAGAATGTTTGGGATTTTTGTGACTAAAAAAGACAGTCCGGATTCTTACCGAGGTATGTATATTGGGTTGTAATGGTACATGGATTTAGAAAACCACATCCCTTTTCATAGTTATATTCCTGCCTTATTCACTGTACATCATAAGAAGCAGATGCCCTGTGGAAATGACAATGCTTATCACATTGGGTATCTATACACGTGCTCCAGGGTGGAGGGGCAGGGTGCTTTAATTAGAGTGGCTTTCAGATGGTTGTGATCAAAATGTCACATGTATTCAGTGTCCTGTGCTTCAAAATGGTGGCAGTGGCGCTTTAACTAAAGTTCATTCGAAGACCTTCAGTTAAAGAACCTCCTTCACCATTATGAAATGCGGGGACACTGAATACACATGACACAGAGGCTGCTGAAGCGTGCTAACTAGCATGCTCCAGCAGACTTGCAGCAGACTTGATTAATCGAGTCTGCTCCAAAGTGTGCTAATTAGCACACACAAAAGAAGTGTTCCTTCACGTGTATAGGTTCCCATAATTAAAGCAAGCATTGTGACCCACAAGTTGCAATCTACATAGTTGCAAACATAGCCTTCATTTTCTTAAACTTTGAGTTTTACCTAATTCCTGTAAAAGATGTATGCTATTTTAATTTAATATAAGGCATGGCATTTTCTGATATTTTTTAAAAGAAAGAGGGTGAAGGAATTGAAATTCATGGGAAATGTTTGACAGGCAACAATAGGGTATAGTGTCCTGAACAAAATTATCACTCATCATAGCAAGGCATCCAGATTGACTGAGTACCTAGCTTAGTGAGGCAGTGTGGCTTTCAGGAAGCACTGTCTCAGTGTCTGCTGTATATAGTAGAGTTTGCAGTGCACAAACAAATGGATCACATGCAGAAAAAGGTCTCAAATTATGGTTTCTTAAAACATACGGACTAAAATTGTCTAATCTTCCTGCTCCCATGCAGAATGGGGTTCACTTGCTCAAAATATTAAGGTTGGACAATTATTTCTTTCCAAAGATGAAGAACGTTTGTCAGCAACGTCTACCTTTATTTTGCAGCTTCCAGTTTGTCTTGTTGAAGAGCTAGTTCCTAGTGTCTTGTTTTAGCAGAGATGTGACTGTTGTTAGCAATAATAGGAGAAAGGTGCAAGGTTACATTGCAAGAACTCATTCTTTCCTCTTTTTTTTTTCAAATAGCTGCATCCCTAGCATTTAACGATCATGTTGTTGTAGAAGCTGAATGTATTTTTTCTGGTAACCACTTCTTTCGCGTGGAACATGCAGTAGCTGGCTGTTATATTTTGTCACTTTTACCTTTTCACTAGCATATGTAGTCCTTAGAAAGAAGACATCTCTCTCTTTCTAAGATGCTTTCAAGTTTTCAGGTAATTGACGTTACAAGGGCCTATCCCAAAATAGTATCCTATTTTGTGTTGTGGGCATGCTAAAAAGCAAGCCTTAATACAGCTTTCACTTGTGAAATAGAGGGTGCAGACAGAAGTGCAGCTCTCAGCTGCAACTCACAACAATTTCTGCAAAGCGTTCTGAGTTACAGCATTACCCCAGACCAAACAGACGTTCCAGAGCTGTTAGCGGTGAAGGGGGACAGGGAAAGA